GAATCTGTCGTGGTGCCTGCATACCACCTACATGGTACTTAGCAGTCATTTGCTTTGTATGAAGGAGCAAGAGGAAAAAAAACCATCAGGCTGGCCCACTCTTGGCAGGGGTGGGAGGGTAGAAAGGAGACGGAAAAACACCATCAGCTGTGGCAGTGAGCTGTGTGTATTTACATTTCACAGGCTGAACTATTTAGTGGTTTATTTACACACAATGTTCTTGGAGCAGCTAAAATGCCAGTTGTGTTTTATCTCGATTTTGTGGCAATGCGCATAAGCCACAGAATCATAGGAAGAGTCTGCAAATGAGAGCCGAACCTCCTACATCTGGAAAAGCACACGAGCCACTGTGAGAAAGGAGAGAGATTTTGGGAGCACAGGCACAACAAGGGCTGAAACGCATTAGTTACGACAAGACACCAAAATACAACCCAGGGACTCGAAAGCAACGACCCAGTCACAATGCAAGAGCTCGTGCTGCAGGGACTGCACATCCCAGGGTAACCCTCAGAGCCAAGCCAACCCACGGCACGGCACGGCACGGCACGGCACGGCAGCCTCGGGTCCCTCCGGCTGCCCCTCCATGTTAGAGCGAGGAGGGAATTGCAGTCAGCTCCATTTTATGCACATTTGATGGCAAGACGCCAACACAACTGTTGACTGAGCCAAATCTGGGCCCCCTTGAACTAAGCCATCACCTAAAGCAGGGTGGAAAAGCACATGCCTCTCTCCTTCCCAGCAGCCAAGTTCCTGAAAAGCATCCCAGTTACAAGAAAGATTTTTCTTTCTTTTCTCTGACTACAACTGATGTTTTAACTCTTTTAGGTACACTCATTAATTCGAAATGAAACAGCTAACACGGAGCTGCATTGTACAGCAATGGGATGGAGAGGCTTCCTTCCAGCGAGCCAAATAATTTACTGGCTGGCCCAAACGGCAGCTGAGGCCAGCGCCCGATCTGGAGGGCGGCTATCGTCACACTCTGCAGCCTGCTCCCAGCCTCGGCCAAGGTGCCAATGGCTGCCTTCCAACTGGAACTGTATTCCGACAAAAGGGAATGCAGGACAAGCTTGGGAAAGCTTCCTGATCCCTTCGGTTCACTTCTCCCCTCCAAACCAGTGTTTGGTGGGAGCTGCCAGCACACTTGGGAGTCGCATGGAGAGCATCGCCACTCTGGGAATTCACCTTCCTGAGCAGGTACTGCTCCTGAGCTGGGCCTCTGCCTCGCAGCAGAGAAATCCCTCTGCTGACTTCTACTTTAATTATATTTTAAAAACTCAGCTCCTAGTCTGCGTTCCATTATATTAATAGCAATAATTAAAAATACTTCAAAAAAACAAGTCCTCTAAACCTGCAGCTCTATCCAGGCTTTCTGGCTTCGCACACGGAATTCCTTTCCTGACTGACATCCTCAGGGAACCAGATTGATGGTTACTCTGCTCCATCCCTGCTGCAGGGCTGTGCTGCGTTCTCTCAGCACATGTAAGCTGCAAGGTAATATTTGTGTTGGCAACTTCCTTACATACTTTACAGAACCAGACCTCCATTTGACCCTCAGTGCAGCTCCCACACACGACTTGGTCCGCTCCTTTGAACTGTCTCCTCTTGCTGCAACACATGCTCCATACCATACCTCTCTTTCCAGCCTGTTTAAAGACTACACAGCTTGAACAGAGCTTTTGTGCTTCAACAGTGCACCTTAGCCATAAAAGCCAAGCCTGCAGAATGTTCTTATGCAGGAACACCAAACAAAATTATTATAAAATCTGCACGTACAGGTCTTGGTTGTCCTTCTCCCAAGATTGCTCCAATGGAAGCAATCATTTTTATGAAAAAATGAGAACTGAGTGAAGTTCTGTGTAAAAAGACATCAACATCCAGGTTTTATGGTCAGAGTCCAATAGCTGTACTGTGCTTTAGGGGACTAGTGGGGGTGTTGGGGGTTTCTGTTTAATATCATCTCCATTGCAGCCCTTTAGACAGTAACACCACCTCAGAACAAACTTTCACACCAGAGATCTTCTTTCCTTACCCAAAGCAAACCAAGCAGAATAAAAGATAAGCCAACAAAGTAACGTGCCCAGACAATCCAATGAATTCCCATTATCCATCTGTGCCGCAGCACATCATCACCAACTCCATTTAACGCCAACAGAGCTAAAGCAGAATAAAAGTGATGCAAGAAGAGGGGAGATGCGAGTGGCACACGGCAGCGAGGCAGCTGCAGTGCAAGCAGGGGACTGTGCAGAGCATCATGTGACAGGAGCAGCAGCGCAGGAGAGCTGCAGCCCCCGGCTCCCACCTCCCCAAACCTGCGCCCTCCCTGCCAGGCCATCTGATCCCAGTGCAGAACCGGCTCGGCTTAGAAGCTTCTCGATGTTCTGAATCGTTAAACTCCATTTTTATTACTTCCCTCCACAAAATAAAACAGGCACACAGAAATGATTAACAATGAGCTTCATGTTCCTCCCCTTGGAATGCACTCTCAGCGTCTTTATCACTTGTAGATCGACTTTCTCAAAAGAGCACAGAAGGCAGTATCATTCTTACACATAAAGCAAAGTCCAACTAGACATTGTTGTGATAAAATATTCCCTGTTTGTAAGGGATATGGATTGCCAACTGAATTTTGATAGTGTAGTGTAGTACATATCAAGACAAAACAATGATCACATTCTCCTTTGTAGCACAACATTCCCTCTCTCCATATAGCTTGAATGGTTTTTGTATTTCCTGCAGTAAAGGACCTGGCCATCACATCTGTGACTGTCTGTATTGCTCTGGCAGCCCAGGATGACTGGAGAATAATGCTCTCTGCTTCTGGTGAAGTGACTCACTCTTTCTTTCATTTAACATAAATCGTGGTCCAATTTATCCCAATATCTTGAATGAGACTGTATTAATCTGATTTGAAAATGAAGCCTATTCTTTCTACACACGATCCCCAGGAGGGCACCAGGCTCCCGAAGTGCTTCCTCCACCGTGCCAGGGACAGCACAAGCACCGCACCACGGGGTCAGGCGGGGTGAGGAGACCCCAGGCAGGAACTGCACCTGCAGACCCCACAGCAAGACCCATACCAGGATGATTTTCTACAATTTGCAAAGACTGCTACCACCACAGCAGTCCCACTGCCCACAGGAGCAGAAGAAAGCACACGCATTCAGAGAGACTCACTCACATTTTAGTCTTCATTTGGTCCCACAGCGCTGCTTGGCATTAGCTTGGACAAGATGCCATAAATTATAGGTTGCATCTGGATAGCTCGTGCAAAATCCAGATTTTTTTTTTTTTATATTAAGGGGACCTTTTGCAGCTTGGAGGACTAGAAGCGCTTGGCCCAGACAGAGCTAAAGTGTAGAAGCTTGGAGTCTGGTTATTAAATGACAGACATGCAACTCAGACATTGATGAAAACAGGTCTTATTCTGTGGTGGGAGATTAGATCTAGAGCTGAAAACCTGCAGCCTTGATCTTACATGTTTAAACAGGTTATGGACATTTTTATAAGGCAAGAAATTTGAGGGGATGACACAATATAACAACCACCCATCTTCTATCCCCAAGGGCATCTCATGTCACCTACTGCCCAAGCCACCTCTCTGTACACAAACAAATAAAAATTGGTGACAAGGGAACTGCTGAGATGGAAGTTTAAAATCAGGAAAACCCAAGATGATTCCATCGAACCGGCAGCTTGGCTATCCAGCACTGCACAGACTGCTGCCGTAAAATCCTGCAACATTCCATCCCAGCGGGCTGGTCCGCCGATGCCGAACGGCGCTGGCTGTCAGCGGCGAGCCCAGCACCGGCAGCCTCGCCCGCCGCGGGCGGGAAGGGAGCGCGAGGAACGGAGAAGTTAACGGGGGATGGCTCGGGCGATCATCGCCGCTACGCTGCCAGCCCAGGCCTAAGCGTCAGACGTGTCACATCGCGTTCCTCCTCTCCGTTACCAGCAAAGACAGCGGCGAGCACGGCGCCGTGCCGCCGCCGGGCCTCGGCGGCTCCCGCCCCCGCCGCCCGTCACCGCGGCACCGGGCACGGACCCGCCGCGGCACCGGGGGATGCTCCGCGCAGCCCCGCCCGCACCTGCCGCCTTACCTGGGCTCCCGCGCGCGGCGGGGCTCTTCCGCCGGGCCCAGAGCTCTGAGGGGGGAGACCGCGGTGAGGGGCGCGCCGCCGCCGGGCCTGCCCCGAGGCGCCCGCAGCCGCTGCCCCCGCTGCCGCCCGCCCCCGCCGCCGCCCCGCCCGCGCCCGCCCGCGCCGCCGCTCCGCCCCCCGCACCTGGAGGCCGGGCCGGAGCGGGGCAGGCGCTGCCGGACGGTCCCGCTCGCCGCCCGTACCCGCCGCTCCCGACCACGGTGCCGGTCCGGGCGCGGCCGCAGCGCCGCCGAGGTTCGGGGAGCGCGGCTGCCGCCTCGCGCCGGTCCGCGCCGGTCCGCCCCGCCCCCGCGCGCTCCTATTGGCCGCGCGCCCGGGCTAGCGGCGAGACTGCGTTCTGATTGGCTGCTCCGGCCGTCAATCGAGAGGCCCCGCCCCCCGCGCTGTGCCGGTGAGGCGCGGCGGCTGCTTGGATACGGCGGCGGCGGCGCCGCGGGGAGCGAGACCGGCCCGTCTGTCTGTCCGTCTGTCCGTCCCGCGCGGCCGCCTGTGCGCACAGCCCTGGCCCTGCCCCTGCCCCTGCTCCGCCCTGCCGCGGCGGCCGCTCCCGCCACGCCCGCCATCACGTCCCCATCACTGCCGGTGTAAGAGTGCCGCACCTCGGCCAGCGTGAGAACACCGGCTGCGATCTGACCGGGCGCCGGCGGCCGGGGAACAGCGGGGGCGGCAGCCGCAGCAGCGAGCGGCTCCCGCGGGGCTGCAGCCCCAGAGCCCGGGGCCGGCCGTGCCTCCCGCCCCGCCTGTCAGCGCCCGGCCGGGACCACCGGGGCTCCTCCCCCCGCCTGCGCGCCTTGGTACGGTCCGGCCGCAGCACCGCCCCCGTCCCTGCGCCGCTTCCGCCTTTCCGCCGCGCGCCGCCGCCATGGTGAGAGAGCCGGGCCGGGCCGCGCTCGGGAATCCGCCGGCATCCCGCGGGAACGGCGCCGGGATCCGCCGGCATCCATCCCGCGGGAACGGCACCGTGTCCACTGGGACCCGCCGGCATCCCGCGGGAACGGCACCGTGTCCACTGGGACCCGCCGGCATCCCGCGGGAACGGCGCCGGGACCCGCCGGCAGTCGGGACCGGGAGTCCCGGCAGTCCGCCCACATCCCGCGGGCCCGGGGCCCGCACGGGGCGGCGCGGGGCTGGGGAGGGCGGGTGCGGGCCCGGGGGAGCGGGCGCGGGCACTGACGGCGGGTCCGCCCGCAGGCCAAGATCAAGGCCCGGGACCTGCGCGGGAAGAAGAAGGAGGAGCTGCTGAAGCAGCTGGAGGATCTCAAGGTGGAGCTGTCGCAGCTGCGCGTGGCCAAAGTGACCGGCGGGGCCGCCTCCAAGCTGTCCAAAATGTGAGTGGGGCCGGGGCGGCGGGCAGGGCCGCTGAGAGCCGCTCCCCAGGCTGCGGTGGGTGTGTGCTCCGGAAAACGCCTGGAAACCGGCGTGGAAGGGAGCACATCCCGGTGGGCCCGAGGCCGGTGTGTCTCGGCTCAGAGGCGCTGGCCGGGCGCTGCCGGTGGTCGCTGCGGTGTGGCTCGGTGTAAGGGGAGCACACAGGGCTCTGGAGCCCGGGTGCGATCATGGAGCTGCTCCTGCGGGCTGTCCTCTCATCTCTCTCTGTCCCCATGCAGCCGTGTGGTGCGCAAATCCATTGCCAGAGTCCTGACTGTCATCAACCAGACCCAGAAGGAGAACTTGAGGAAGTTCTACAAGGTAAGGACGGACATTCTCCATCAGTGGCCTTTACACTCTTGCCGTTCACAGTTACAGAGTTTGTGGGAAGGATTGTTACTCAAAAGCTTTAAAACTTGAAAACCTATAATTTATGTTCAGTGTAAAGTTCTCTGGTCACAGTTGCTTTTTAAATATTAGTGCAAGAATTCTGCAGGCTTGGTGTGAGTCTGCTTTTGCAAGAGATTCCTCTGGCAGCATCCCTTCTGCGGGGTGGGGTGAATTTGCTGAGAAATGCAGATACTCTTTTATTTTAAATATAATAATCTCGCAGGTGAGCAAGAAATTCTTCAGTTCAATAAGGCTCTGTAATTTTTAGACTATCACTTCCTGGAGTTTGAATTAGATTATATTGGCTGGGGGGAAAAAAGATCTTTTCAAGAGGTGCTGGATAACAGGGGCTTGTATGATCAGGCCTTACTTAACCCTGAGTCAGAGCTGCTGCAGAAGTTACAATCCACTGGAAACACCAGTGGAATCTCCTGAACATCCAGGCTGTAGTGGTGGTCCCAAGGAAAAGAGGCTGGGATGGGCTGGTGCTGTGGCGGGAGCTCAGCTCAGCTGCTGCGTGTCTTTGCAAACAGGGCAAGAAGTACAAGCCCCTGGACCTGCGGCCCAAGAAGACTCGGGCCATGCGGCGCAGGCTCAACAAGCACGAGGAGAACCTGAAGACCAAGAAGCAGCAGCGAAAGGAACGTTTGTACCCAGCCAGGAAATTCGCCATCAAGGCATAGCCCCGAGCGAGCTGCAGCTCCGGGCTGGGGTCTGGGCACGGCTCATTAAAGGGAGTTTGGTTTGGAAGTGTCTCTGGTGGTTTCTTTGGTGGTGGTGGGTGAAGAGGCCATAAAGGAGTCATCAGCCTAATGGAGGGAAATGGGAGGATTCACAGAAAGTGTTTAAACTGCAGCTGCTAATGAAAATACAGACCTGGCAGTTTTATTTTCCTCTGAGGAACAGGCGTGGATGGGTACAGATCTTTGAGGCTGGTTCATCCAAACGTGTAAGAAGTATTTAACCTGAGATTGATGCAGAATTGGAAGCTTTTCACAAATGCTGGTAGTCAGTCAATACCACTATTTATCACAGTTAAAAATTTTATCTCATGCCAGTGTTTAAGGGTTAATAGAAATAAATCATTTATCTGAGGGATTTTGCAGGACATCATGGAAACTCGTCAGCACTTGGTTCAGATCTCTGGGCAGCTCGTAGCTAAGGAGAACCCCCTTGGGGGGGATAGTGTCAGACCTGGTGTTCTCTTTGTGAGCTCAGGGTATAAATAAAGCTCTGAACTCCCATGGCCTCACAATTGCACACTTCTTTATACCTGCAAAGCACAGCACGGGCACGGGTTAAATGGTTTGTCTTGGTCCCCCGTGGAGTACTTTGGGACTCAGAGAGGGAATTGCAATTCCAAAAGCCTTTTTTGGTCCTGATTTTGAGGAAGAGTTCCACAGGGCTGCTGGAGCGTGAGGGCTGCAGCACTCATGGTTTGTGTTAGTGCAGCCAATGCATTCGAACATAAAAAATTCCCTATCCATTAGGGAGTTCCTAGATTGGATCCAGATTCTGTTTAGGAAAAATATCTTAATTCTACTCCCTCATTAAGGATTTGTAAGCCTCAAGCTAGTTTTATCCAGAGGCCTGACCACGTGTGGTGCCGGGAGTTTCCCCTACATGGTGGCACTGCGAGGGGTGGCTGCTGTGATGTCACCTGGGCTGTGCCGTGGCTTTGTTTGGAGCCGGGACGTGTCTGGCAGCGAGAGCAGCGGGGCTGGCACAGCGCTGGGCCGGGGAGCGGCTCCTCAGCTCGGCTGGGCTCTGCTCCCGGGCGGGCAGGCAGGGTCACGGGCCGTGGCTCCGTGTCCTGCTGTGGCCGGCAGAGCTGCTCGCCTCCCCAGGAGCAGGAGCACCCTGTGAGGATCCCAGATCCACAGTTCCCATCCCAGGAGCCGGATGGCAGAGGGAGACGGGACAGGGCTGAGCCCCTGTTCTGGGAATGGGGCAGGCGGCTGCTGGCAGATCGTGCCAGGCTGCACTCTGGCTTCTCTTTGGAGGGCTGTGTGTCCCCTGGTGGCTCTGCCAGCGTTCCTGACAACACAGCAGAGCAAACACGGCCTGAACGCACTGCAGAGACTGGTGACAGTGTCAGGGTGTGCTCCAGGTGTCACCTTCCACCCCAGCCATGGAGCAGTTGCACTGCCAAGAGAGGATCTGCTGTCTCAAGGATCCAATCAAGTACAGATCACTGGCATGCCAATCAGTAACAAGAGGGTGGGGAACACAAAAACAAGAGAAAACCCTAACTGGGCAGGCACTGAACATCCAGGAGCCATCCCCATGCTGCAGTGGGAGGCAGTCCTGGAAAACAGCTCAGAATTCAGTTTGTGCACAGGCCACAGCAGCCATTTGAGGAGGTGAACATGTTTCTGGCACTGCACTAAATCCTGGGGCTGAATTACTCCATCCACCCATAGCTGTGTGACAAAACCAACCAGTCTGGTCCTTCCATCAGAAGTGCCCTGTCTCAGGAGACATGCTGCAGACAAGCAGCCCTTTAAGTGACCGGGAACAACAGACTGATTGAGAGGACAGAGGTGAAGTGATGAGCTTCCTTCAGGACACAGGTGGAGAACATTCTTGTTCTTGCTGTGAGAGCAAAGCAGAGCCTGTCGTGGCTGGGGTCTCCAGAGGTCTGTGCTGGTTCTCTGTGTACCAGCCAGCCCCAGAGGGTGCCCATGCTGCCCCAGCTCCCTGGCAGAAGCCCCTGCTGTCAGGGCTGAGTGAACACTCTCCAGCCTTGCTGGTCCCCAGAGCGAGGGAGGCCAGTGGCAGGAGCCCCCAGCTAAGGGCCCCCCACTCCCCAGAGCATCCCCATGTTGCAGTGCCTCTGTGGGACCACACAGCATGGCCCCTGTGCCCCTGCAGGCTGTGTGGCTCCTGTCCCCCTCCGGCCTGGCTGTGGGGTCGGTCTGGGGCCGTGCTGCAGCACTGACCCCACACAGCTGCCCAACGCCAGCCCTGGGTTTAGCACTGGTGTTTGTGGAGCGTCAGAGCCTCGCAAACTCAAACTGTTTATTTGCTCCTTGTAACTGAAGATGTCCCTCAGCACTGGGGAGGTTTCCTGGGAAAAGACGTTCCTCAACAAATAAATAATTTCCCGGGCGGGGATGAGGACGGAGGAGCAGCTGCTGGCTGGCTGCAGGGCATGGCCCAGGGCTGGTGCTGCCGCAGAGGGAGCCCTGGCCCTGTGCCCTGGAACACATCCAACAGGACCAGATGTTTCTGCCCAGCACAGCGGGACCGGCCTGGAGCGGATGGTGTCAGTGGGAGCTGGCAGCATCCACTCCCGGACCCAGTTCTGCATCTGGGGCAGGGCCTGGGGGCTGGGGAGGAGGGGCTGCAGAGGGGCAGAGGCAGATGTGAGCCGTATAATCACAGAGTCTTTTAGGATGGAAAAGACCCTCAAGATTGAGTCCAACTATAAACCAAATATTGCTGAGGAAAGCCCAGGACCCACCTCCCTTGGCTGGTGTTTGCTCCCCAGCTCCCCTAACACTCCTGTCACTGCTCCTGGCACCTTCCTCCTTCAGGATGGTCCTTGGCCGCTGCCCTGAGCGCTGCCCCAGGGCTGTCCCTGGTTTCTGCACACAGTGTGGGCACTGGGACATGGAGGGACATGCCGACTGCTTTGTGGGGCAGGGAGCTTGGCAGCAACCACGTGGGCATGCCCCTGTTCCCTCGGCTGTGCCGTGCCCAGCACAGGCACGCTGGAAGAGCCGGCCCTGCACGGCTGCGTGCGAGCAGCGTGTCTGGTGCATCTGGTGACCACAAGCCCCAGGCTGTGAGGCCTGGCAGGAGAATGCCGCGTCCCGCTGGCCTCACAGATGGCCTGGGTCTGCCCAGGGCAGCCGCCCGCGCCGGCCCTCAATGCCCGTTTTGTTGGCTGGTCTGGGGGAGGACGTGCCCCCCGCTGCCCTGGTCCTGCTGCGCCATGAATACGGGCAGTGTCTGCACCCGGCGCAGCGCCGCAGGGCTCGGCTCCCGCCGGCCGGGGGCTGCCGGGCCAAGGTGGGCCTGGGGCTCCCGGGGCTGGGGCTGCTGCCTGCTCCCAGCCAGCCTGGCTGGGCATCCGCAGGGAGATGGAGAAAGGCCCTGCATCAGACTGAGCAGAGCCCAGCCATGAGAGCCCCCGGCTCCCTGCCGTGCCATGCCGTGCCGTGCCATGGGTACTGCCAGAGAAGGGGTATTCGCAGGTGCACCCAGCCGGCCCCGGGGCTGCCATGGCATGGCCGGGGTGCTGTGGAGCTGGTGGTGTAAGCCTGGGAAAGATTTCTGTTTCCACTGGTGAGTGAGTCAGCGGCGGCACCGCCAAGGCCCGTGGTCCCCTCCCTTCCCTCCGGCCACCGCCACCGCCCACCACCCGCTGCCCTGCCCTTTCCCACAGCTGCTCGGGGTCGTCAGCCTTGGCACCTGTGTCTCCATATCACACCACGTCCCTGCACCTCCCTGCAGCTCCCGGAGACTGACCAGAGGCTCCGGTGGCACCAACGTTCTCCCACCAAACATGTCCCAGCATGGGCAGCATGAGGGCTGTGGCGCAGGGATGACCTGGCGGCTACTGGCATGGCTTGTCACCATGTCCCCAGCAGAGCCCTCTGCCAAGCCCCTGCTCCTGCAGCCTGGCAGTGCCCAGAGAGCTGAGCTGCAGGGGATCCAGGTGGAGGCAGCTCCTGGGGTGGAACAAGGACTGAGGTTTGGGTGCACCCTCAGTGAGTGCCACGGGCAGGCTCTGGCCAGGATGTCACCTGCCCACTGTACATCCTGCCCACCCAAAGACTGGCCACCCCTGTCTCACCTCCGCCCCGAGACAGCTCAGCAGGGCCGGCACCGTGGGGAGAGCAGGATGCCAGCATGGGCAGCGGGGCCAGGAAGAGGCAAAACCACCACAAACAAACCAGCCCGGCCAGCAACTGAGACGGGGGCGGGGGGATCAGGGCTCACTGCCCGGCTACACCGAGGACAGGAGGAGATTTTCGGAGCAAGGGCTGTGGCACGGGAGCCCCCTGCCCAGATGGCCTCAGCTGCCCTTCCCCAGGCGCCACATCGCTGTCACGGGGGCTTTGAGCACCACAGCCCCCCAGCATCCCTGTCTCAAGCTTCATTTGCTGCTTGCTGCTGAACTGAGAGATTTTAATCTTTTAATCACGTTATGAGCCGAGGTGGTGCCGGCCACGCACAGGAGGAATGTCTGGAAGTCAGCAGCGCCTGTCGCAGCGGGAGCCCATCCTGCCCCCCCAACATATCCCCACTGTGTCCTGCTCGGAGTCCCCGTCCTCCCCAGCCTGGCTTGTCCTGCACCTGAACTGGGACCAGAGACCAGGACCAGCCATCGGGGACCCGTGCCAGAACAGGGATCAGCTCACAAAGGGCTGCTGGGACTGAAACTCCCCAGCACAGCCCAAAGGAACCAACACAATGCAGTGCTCTGACCATGTGGGTTTCGTTCCTCCCTTCCCATGTTTTCTGACCGAGGGGTGTCCGTAGCCCAGCCCAGCACAGCGCGGAGCCACAGCAGCCCCTGCAGAAGAACAACAAAGCCCTGGAATTAGAGATGTGCTGGGAGTTTACTTTACCACAAAAAAATGTCAGAAATCCGTATTGTTTGTACAGGGATTTGCTGGGGATCGCTAGATAAAAGCCTGGCAGGGACCTAGTCGGGGGGGAAAAGTCGGCTGGCTCCTTTCTGGTGGCGAGGACCCACGGCCAAGCGAGCAGGCGGTGCAGGGCCAGCGTGGGGGCTCGGGGCAGAGGCGGACACGGGCAGGGGCAGGGCAGGGGCAGGGGCAGGGGCAAGGGCAGGGGCAGGGCAGGGGCAGGAGCAGGGCAGGGGCAGGGGCAGGGGCAGGGCAGGGGCAGGGCAGGGGCTGCAGCAGGGGCAGAGGCAGGGGTAGGGGCAGGGGCAGAGGCAGGGCTGAGGGCAGGGGTGCGGGCAGGGGTGCGGGTGGCTGTGCGAGCAGGGCACACCAGGCACGCTCCTCCACGCCTGCTGCCGAAGGGGACTTGCACGGCTCCAGTGAATGCATTTAAATAACAAATTCATGGTCAGCAAAAGCAAAGGCATCTTAACCACACTTCCTAAAATAGCGACTGGCACCTGTTCCTGGTGCCTGGCAGTGAGGGGGCCCCGGCCCACGGGGCTGTCCCGGCACTGGCACGGCTGCAGGGATGGCACACGTGGTCCCGGCAGGCCGGGGCAGCGCGGGAGGCGCTCGGTGCGCTGCTGCAGGGCAGGTGGTGCCAGCAGAGCAGGGGGATGTGAGTTGGCTCCTCTCTGTGTCCCAGGGAAGGCGATGCTGGCCCAGCTGCCACGGCCCCGGGGCCACGTTGTCACAGGGCAGTCTGCTGGGGACTGCTCTCATGTGCTCTCCCTGCCCTGCAGCACAGTGGGCACCGTGCAGGCGATGGCCATAGCAGATGGGGAAGGTTTTGGGGTGGAAGCCGGGCTCTTGCCACAGCCCTGGCTGCAGCTGGGGTGCCAGGGCCAGGCTGCGTCAGGGTGCCCCAGCCAGGCACAACGCAGGGTGGGCACAGGAGTGCAGCGGGACCCGCCCAGGCACTCAGACCACGAAGCGGAGCCCGTACGTCATCTGATGGCCATTGTCCCAGGCATAGAGCACCTTCTCCTTGGGGTTGTAGTCGACCTGCGTGGTGAAGGAGTAGTGGTTGAGGAAGGGCAGTCGGAGCTCTGCCTCCGTGTCTGTGTGCGTGTCGAAGGCATAGGAGATCTGCCCTTCCTTCTGGCTGTAGGTGTCCACAGCGTAGAGGATGCCACAGATGATGAAGCAGTTCCCGTACGTGTTGCGTTTCAGCCCCGTCTTCCAGGTGGTTTCCTTGCGCACTGAGAGGTCCACAGGGTCAAGTCTGCTGAGGACGATCACCTCCTGCTGGGAGTAGTCATAGTCCACCGAGGGGTAGATGACCCAAAGCCCGCTCTCATCCACAGCGAAGTCGATGTCCGAGTGGCCCCTCCACTTCCAGGGCGTCGTGTCCTCGTACACCACGTCGTGGAGCTGCGCCCAGCCTGCCACGTACCGCTCCTTCAGGTCATACTTGATGATGTTCTTGGTGAAGGCACGGTTGTAGTAGAAGGCTCCTTTGTACACCACGTGCCCGGTGCCAATCCAGTTGTAGGGCAGCTTATAGAGGTTGCTCCAGCGGCCTGTGAGTGGGTGGGAGAGGTGTTGAGACCCTCCACAGCACAGGGGTCCCATGCACGGTGGCCAGAGCATGTCGGCAGCAGCAGGGGACTTGTGTCACCCTTGCTGCCCTCTGGACGCTCCCCTCAGCTGCCCACCACCCCAGGGCCCAGCACAGCTGGTGTCACACAGCACTGGACACCCACCTAGGAGGAGCCAGGACCCCTGTGCCCACTCAGCCACTTGCCCCTCACCCTGCTTGAAGTTGTCGAGGCTCCTGAACTCCACCAGGCTGTTCCCATAGTAGTAGTTGGTGATGTAGATACGGTCATCCTTGGCTGCCGGGTCCTTCATCCAGGCCCCCTCATTGCGCCCGTAGCTGTGGTGCTCCGTGGGGGGCTCCACGGACTCGAGAGTGCCTTCGCACTCCGCCTCCTTCCCTGGGTGCCAGAGGGAGGAAGAGGAGGGTTTATCCCTGCCCCAGGCAGCTGACTCCTGCAGCTCCTTCCCTGCGGCAGATTCCTGCCGGTTTAGCTCGGCAGGGCCACTGGGAACGCAGGGCTGGGTCCCTGTGCCAGCCACCCCCGCTCACCCACCTCTGGGCGGTGTTTCGGGGTCCCCGGTGCGGTCGGTGCCCTGCCCGGGGCCGGGGGGGCTGCGGGCGGTGCTGCGGGGGGCCGGGGCGGTGCTGGGCACAGCCGTGGTGCCAGGCACGGTGCTCTCTGTCCGTGCAACAGCTTGGGCTGGGGTGCCCTCAGCTGAGGGGGGCAGGGGGCCCCTGTCCTCCTGCTGCTCTGAGGCGGCTGCCCCTCTCACGGGGCCCTCTGTGGGAGCACGAGCTGGGGTTACTGTGTTTGTCGGGGCAGGCCCTGGCCCCCGCCTCGGTGAGAGGTGCCCCCATCCCCGCCCTGTCTCCAGACTCACCGCGGCCGCTGGTCGGACCCTCCGCCGCTCCCGCCTGCCCGACCTTGTAGTAGGTGATGCCTCGGACCACAGTCTGCTGCTGCGCCGGGGGCTTGGGCTTGGCCGTGGGCTGGGACCCTGCCCTGGCCTTGGTGCTCTCCTTCTTGGGCTTTTCGGGCTTCAGCGGCTTCTCCTTGGGCGCTCGGGGCCCTGCCCTGTCCCCCAGAGCCTTGCGGGTGCTGGGGTACCGTCCTGCCTCCTTCTCTCGGCCACCTGTCGTGTCCTGGGGGGCACAGCCTGGTCGGACCCCCTTCCCTCCCGTGCCCTACTCCTCCCTGCCACCACCGTGCCAGGCAGTGGGCACCAGCCCAGGGGTTACCCCAAGGATCATCCACAAGCCTGGGGGAGCCTGGCCCTGCCTGGCACCATCCACGGTGCCTGCATGGGGCTGGCTACAGGGCACCTGTGCCTTGGGGTACCTGTGCCTTGCTCTCGGGGACGGCAGCTGCGTCCTTCTGCAGCAGCTGGTAGCCCAGGTTGGAGATCTCCTTCTTGATGCTGATCATGATGTCAGAGTAGTTCTCGTAGCGTTTCATCTGGTCGGTGAGGTGCTGGACACTCTCCTTCATGAAGTCATTCTCCCTGCTCAGGTTGGTCTTGATGGTCTGTGGGAGAGGGGAGGAGAGGCTGGAGCCCCGTTCAGGGAGCTGACAGACAGCCCTGAGCTGTGCAGCAGGGAGCACTGCGGGCATGGGGCTGCTGGAGCTCACCCACCTCCTCCAGCGTGTTCATCTGCGCCGCCACCTTGCTGATGTAGGAGTGCACCTTCATCAGGTCCATGCTGTACAGCGTTCCCTCCAGCAGGTCCACCATGGCCTGCAGCTGCAGAGGGGACGCAGGGATGGGGCCTGGGGTAAGGGCTAGGGCACGGGGCATGGGGCACGGGGCACAGGGCACAGGGCACGGGGCAGGGGCACGGCGGCGCAGCGTGGGGACGGGTCTGGCCCCCAGCCCCACCACGCCACAGATACCTTAAAGAGCTCAGGGGCCTGTTTCTTCAGCTTCTCCATCTTCCACTCATTCTCACAGGGGTTGAGTGAGGAGGGGGGCGCGGTGCAGGAGCACTTGCAGTCAGCCCCCGAGCTCACCGTCTCCACGGTGTAGAAATCCTCCACGCGCGCGCTGCCGCTCCTGACGCGGCTGCAGGCGTCCTTGCTGAGCGGCCGCAGGATGCACTTGCAGCGGCAGTCGGAGCCCTCGGAGGTCATCCGGACCTGGTCCACGTCACCCAGAGCCTGCGGGACCCGTGATGAGCCCGGTGCCCCAGCCGGGTGTCCCACAGGGCCTCGCCAACCCCAGCAGACCATCACAGCCAGCTGCCCCACTGCTGCTTGGCCAGAGATCTCCCACTGCCCTGGGGCTCGTGGCTGTGCCCCAAAGAGAGTGAGGCACTGTCTAGTCCCGAGCACCCCAAAGAGAGTGAGGCACTGTCTAGTCCCGAGCACCCTGTCCCACTGCTCTGCAGCCAGGCTGACAGTGACAAAGCCCAAGGAGATGCTCATCCCTGCAGTGTTTTGTGGCCCAGGTACTTCAGTCTCATTTCTGTGGCTGTTTCCCAGCCTCCAGCAAGACCTCGGTGAGCAGGGATGGTGGCAAGAAGACCCAGCAGCGCCTCTGTGCCCCCACGGCACGGCTCCAAGCCCACACAGGGCTCGTTGTTTGTGGTGACATGCTCACCTCGGGGTGAGCTCGGCCCCTCAGCCTGCTGCGATGGCCCGAGGCACAGGCTCAAGGACTGCCTTGTTTCCACACATGGCCCTGATTCACGCTGCAGAGCCCAGGGTGCTTTTCGGCCGGTTTAGCTCATTTCTCCCGTTGTGCTCAGGGACAGGGGAGCCGAGTCCCTCCCACCCCCTGCCACCAGCTGTGCACCTGCGGGGCACCCCTGGGCTGGCAGGAGCATGGCCGGGCTCTGGGTGCCCCACGGGTGGGATGTGTGCTCCCAGCGCCCGGGAGGGTGGGAGAGAGCGAGAGGCAGTGCGGTGACCCCGGAGGGAGAGGGCTCTGCCCACAGGGACTCTGACTCATCCTGGGAACAGAACGCTGGCAGAGCTGGGAAACGAGTTGAGCTCTGGCTCCCGGTCCTCCCCAGACCACAGCGGAGTGCAGAGCGGCGTGGGAAAGGGCAGAGGCCCACGGGGCCCGTGTCCTGCACCAGGCGGCACCCACGGGTGCACAGGGACCCTCCTGCCTGCGCCGCTGTAGCACCGGCATTCCCCGAGCTGGGCACGGACCCCCAGCTCCCCACAGCCCACACGGGCCAGGGGCCTCCTCCCCTTTCTGAAGGGCTGCAGAACTTCACACAGTTTGCATTTCAAAAACCCCTCTTTCGTTCAAAGGGAAACCAGGTCCTGCTGGCTGCAGGGAAACACCAGGAAGCCAAAGGGCTGTAAATTGAGCAGAATCTAATCAAGCTCTCAGCAGGGAGCGGGGCAGGGACCCCCTCCCCAAACACCACCTCGCCAGGCTCGCACGTCCCGGGGCCCCTGACCTCCCCCAAGGCCAGGCTGGCACTTGTGCAAACAGGCAGGAGGATTCCCAGCCCGGCCCGGAGCTGGAGCTGGCTGTCCTGCCGCGGGCAGCGTCCACCCGTGTGGGAATCCACGAGACATCCATCCTCCCCGCTGAGCCCCACTTCAGTTCCCAGCTGGGGTCCCCCGCTCCTGCCCGAACCAGCCTGGTGAAGAGCAGCAGCCAGCAGTGAGGGTGCCGCTGATGCGGCACAGCGCGACCCCCGGCACACGCGGTGACCCCACCAGCTCCTGCAGGGCAGGGCTGCAGCTGCCCGGGCTGGAAGCTCGTTCCTGGGGTTGTGGGTGACCCTGCGCTGTGCTGGGCTGAGCAGGCGGCTGCCCGGCGCAGTGAACCCACCGGAGCAGCCATGACCCTGCACATCGTGGAGGTGCCCGGCGCACATCGCCTCTCCCACGGCATGAAGGGCCGGCCCCTTCCCAGGACCCGGCCACGGCCGTCCCGTGTGGGCAAACGCGCTGCGGGTGTCTCTGCACTGTGCCCGGGCTGCCGCCCACCTTCTCGTGGGGCCGTAACTCTAAACCTCGCCGTGCCGTCTGCCAGCTTCCCTAAACAGGAACTGCATGTTCTATTTATACAGAAAAGCCCATAAGCAAGGAAGTATTAAAAACCAGGCTCCCACGCGAGGAGACTCCGTGGGTCGCCCACCGCGGTACCTTGGCTGGGTGCCTCTGTCAGGCCGGGCCTGGCTGTGCCCGGCTCTGCAGGGGACAGCCCGCACCAGGGCACGCACATCCCCTCTCCCCAACAGCGCACAGGCAGCTGGGGACGCGAGGGCAGAAGGCAGCCCGTGCTGCTCTGCCTTCTCCAGGTGGGAGTCTGTGAGCTCCCCGAGAAACCTGCGTCGGGGGCTGATGCAGCTCTGCAGGGGCTCCAGTGATTCTCCCCCTGCGTCCCCCACTCACTGCAGACCCCAGCCCAGGGTGCTGGCAGGTGGCTGCTGCCTCTCCTCCCGAGCAGGTCCCAGCTCCCCAGGGGCTGCACACCCATGGCTGGTGTGGGAGAGTGTCCCTGCACTTTGCTGAGGGTTTCCTCACTGAAAGTTTTACGAGCTGGGTAATTTTCCCAGTTTCCGGGACTGCTTGCAAGAGCATCCATGTGAGCACAGAGTTTGTGACATTATTTGGAGAAAGCGGGACCTTTGACAATGACCCTTGGCCAGCTTTTAAGCTGTCCCTCGGCTGCTGCCAGAAGACTCGTCTTGGAGGAAAACACGCTTTGTTGATAAGCTGCCACACCACACGCCTCTGGCACAGCTGCTGGAAGGCATGTCCCCGTCACGGGAGGGAAACCATGTCACCCTCCTCTTCCTCCTCCTCCCAGGCTTGGCACAAAGTGCCAAACACGTCCTGCAGCTGAGGCAGAACGGTGCTGGCAGGGCTGGGCCGTGGCTGACGGCAGCCAGGCCCCGGGCGCTGGCGCTGGCACCGCTTGGGCGTCCCGTGCTGGTCACAGGGACACAGCCATGCCAAGCGCTTGTGTGGCACATGCATGCCCACCGATGGGATCTCACCCAACGGCAAGCGTGGAGGAAACACCTCTGAGCACAGCAGGCAGCACCTGCGGGGAGGGAGACGGCACCGCGTGGATCGCTGAGTCCTGCCAGCATCAGCCCTGGCACCCCGCCGGGAAGCCGAGCAACAGGGCATTCCAGGCTCTGGATATCTGTTCCAACCTAAGTGCTGCCCGACAACAGCTGTGTTAGTGTCGTTTCCCACCAAATGTCTTGGAAAATCCTGTCTTTTTAACATTTGGTGATCCTAGCAGTAGCTGCTCCCACCACCGTTCCTCTGGGCTGGGTCCCGGTGTCCCTGCTCTGGCCCCGCTACGGCCACTGACCCCGTGGGAGACGTGTTCCAGCTGGAAGCGAGGGCTCCTGGATGCAGGGGGAGGCTGGCTCCCCCCGCTGCCCGGTCCCGCTCCCGCTCCTCATCCCCGCGGGGAAGGCTTGTCTGGGCTGCTCTCTCTGGCACGGAGTCGCTCGTTGCAGCGCCCATCACCGCAGCGCCGGGGCTTGGGCACCTTCCAAGCGCTCGAACGCGCCCACAGCCCGGGTCTTTCCCTGCGCCGAGCCCCGCCGCGATGGCAGCGGCGGCACCCGAACCGCGGCCCTTCCCGGGACCCCCGCCCGCCGCCGGTGTCGGGCCGCGCCCCCGCCGCTCCGCCCGGGCACAGAGAGCAGCGACCGCCGGGGACACCGCAGCGACCGGGCTGCCCCTGCCCGCTCCCGACCACCGCCGTGATCGCTCGGGGCCGCGATCGCGATCCCGGTCCCGACCCCCGTCGGTGCCAACGCCGGTGCCGGTCCGGCCCGTCCTTACCGTGGCGGCGCCGCGCACCGCGGCCAGCGCCGGGAGCAGGAGCGCGGGGAGCAGCAGCGCCCGCATGGCGAGAGCGGCGGTGACCGCCCGCACCGAGCGCCCGCTCCGCCCGGCCCGTCCCGTCCCGGCGGCGGGGAGGAGTCGCCCGTCCCGTCCGCCCGGCCCGCCCCGCCCCGTCCCGGCGGCGGCACCGGCCCCAGCAGCAGCGCGGGGGCGGCGCGTTCCCCCCGGGCGGAGCTGGCCGTGCCCGCCTGGGGCTCCCGCTGCCCCGGGGCTGCCCGGTGCCCCTTGCCGGGGCGGGCCGATCCCGTACTCTGAGATGCGGTGTCCCCGCCGGGGCTGCGCGGCTTCCCCGGGCAGTGCCCCGTGCCCGGTTTCGCCCCCCTCGCAGCGCCGCGCTCCCGGTGCCCGCGTGCCCCCTCCCGGTGCGCGGCGCCGCGGGCAGCGCTCGGGGCCCGGCCCCGGGTGCCCCCTGGCGCCCCGCCGCTCCCGGCGCTCCGGCCCGGGGCAGCGGGGCGGGGCGGGCCGGGGCGGGCCGGGGGCGCGGCCGTCGGGCCGGGAGCGGCGCCCCGCGGGCGGCGCTCGGACTACGGCTCCCGTGGTGCCCCGGGGGGGCGGGGCGCGGCCGGCCCGGCCGAGCGCGGCGCGGCCCTGGCTGTCAGCAGCGCCCGAGCGGCCATGGGGCAGCGCGGCCGCCGGGGCCGCTGAGACCGCCGAGCCCCGGCCCGGCCCGGCGCGGCCCCGGCGCCGCCATGGAGCTGGAGCCGCCCGCGGAGCTGCCGGAGCCCCGCGCCGCCAGCAAGGGGCCGCCCCGCAGCGGTGAGTGCAGCTCTGGAGGGGTGCGGGCGGGCCGGGGGCGCGGCGCCGGCGGTACCGGCGGCTCCGCCCGCCCGGAGCGGCCCCGCAACTTTCCGCGGCCGCGGGGCGCAACAAAGGGGCCGCTGCCCGCCCTGCCCCGCCGCCCCGGGCCGGGCACCGGGAGCCGCTCGGGGTCGGGGGTGCGCGGGGGTCGCCGCCCGCAGCGGGTCCCTCGGACGGGCGGCGTGTCCCGCGAGTCGAGCTCGCCTGGCAGGAATCGCCTTCTCCCGGGCGGCCCCGGCGGTCCGCGGGGTGCGCGGGGCCGCTGCCGGTCTGTCCGGGCGCTCCGGGGCTGCCCCGCGGTGCCGGGACCGGCCGTGCCCCGCGGCTGCTCCCGGTGCCCCGCGGGTGTCTTGGCTCAGCCCCTGTGAGCCGGTCCCTGCCCGGGGTTTATGGGCACCATTTGGGACCCTTTTACACTTCCCGTATGCAGATGCCGCATCTGCACTTGAATGTCCCTGCCAATTTTTATGGTTTACAATTGCATTTTACCATCTTGAGGTACTCGGGTTCTCTACAAAGGGTTTGCTCAGACAAAAGAGGCTTTTTATCAGGCAGCATCCTCGGTTTTCGAGATACAGGCGGTGCCAAAAGATAGGCAGTGTGGGAACTGCAGAAATGGGCATTTCTGTACCTGCCCTGATGTTGTAATGCTCAGTTGTCCCTGGAAGCTCTTTATTCCTTCTCACTTGATTAGATGTCCAATTGGATGAGAGACACTTAATACTCTTAGATACTTTATTAACACTCTAATAGCACTCTTAATGCTTTAATATAGCCTTAATACTTTCTGAACTTTCTGATTTAATTTGTGAAGTGTCTGTTGCTTTAGTGTCCCTAAGAGTGCAGCAGTATTAATGCTTTGTCCGCATTCGCTGTTTTTCCCACAGATGCGGGATTTTGTGGGAAATCTCTTTTGATTAATCAGATTAGCTTTAAGAGTTTATTGCGTAGCTGTTTCTTGTGACAGATGTACCTGTGGCTGTGGTTAGTCTTTTGAATGAGTGATGTAACAACCTTTTACTACTTTGCCTTCAAAAATGTGAAATACTTTTGCGGTGTTGAGACATTGCCTGACCTTCAGTCTTTCTAAAGCCTCTGGGGGAGGAGCAGGAAAGATTGGGTTGTTAATTCATGGTTTTATAAAATACCTGCAAATGATAATGGCAAATGAAGCCTCTGAATGTTTTGTTTTCTTAAGAAAGATTCATAGTACTTTTGATACCTTGAGGAACAGCATCTTAACAAAACCAGTGAAAATTGTGTGAGGACAGAGGCATAAAAGTCAGACTGTATTCTTGGTGTTAAAATGTTAATGATAAAATCATTAATGAACTTAAGCTGTGCACGTGGCTTCTGTGTTAACCCGGAGTAAACTGCTGCAAGTTTATTGGCGCCTTCAGCGAGAGAAGCCTCAGGATAACTTTGAAATGCAGAGGTGTAGTTTTATTTCAGCAGTTACAAGCAATTGCAGCCTCATTATTTGAGGGGACACTTGACGTTCTTAGAATATAAGATGATGGTTTTCCCTTGCCAATTTGAGTACTTCCTCTTTCATGTAAGAAACGTATTTTGTCATTGAGCAAATCAATAGCAACTCATAAAACCAGTTGTTTTTTTTTCTAAGGCAGTTTCATTAATGCATTAATTTTTCCTGCAGTAGTAGCAATTATTTCTCAACAGGGTGCTATTTAAGATCAGTCTTGCTATAGCTTCAGTTGGCATCTTTTTCCTCAGTGAGTGAGACACGGTGGCTTTTACATAGTTTTAATTATTTTATGTCTTAGCTAAAGTAGGGACACAACAGATTAGCTTGAATTAAGGTAGCTTTGGACACTTTGTTGTGTACTGTGGTCTTGGATTTATCAGGAAACTAAACAGAAAACTTGAATTTTGTGTTCCCGTAAAACGATCAGAGTTTCAGATGGGCAGATTACTGATCTGGATAAACTTCATACCAGAGAAAAGAGGAAAGTTGTCAGAGCACAAAGAATGTAAGGTTTTCAAAGAAAAATCCCTTTGCCTGCATCCCTTCCCTTTTCCACAGCATTCCCAAACTTTACTGGCGCACACTGACATTTTTAGTGGTTCTTTATGCTTGGTTGCTTTGCATCTGATGAGATAAGCCTTTGCTTAACAAAGACTATTTCATTGATATAGTTGGGTCTTAGTTTACTTGCTATAAACATTTCTTTGAAGATTTAGGAAGAAAAACAAATGGAGTTGTCGAATGGCAACGCTGCTGAAGTCAAATGTCTCTGAATAAACAAGAAGCTACAGTGTTATTTCAGCTCAGTGCTGGCTTGTTGAATGTGGATGTTTCTTGCTTTTGTAAATAATAATAGTTCAGAATCCTATGCTTTATTTTCTCAGTTTAGTGATGAGAAATGAAAGACTTGTAATTTAGGAACAACTTAACTCCTTTGTTTGATTTGATGGTAAAGATGGAAAAATACCTCTTGGTATAAAGTTGGAATTTGGTATTGATGGCTTCTGTAGATCATTAATCAGGAAAATGGGTTTATGCATGCTTTTTTGTGCTGAGCCCAGGACTAGTGCTGTATGTTGAGCAGCTGCAGTGTGTGATGTGACACTGCAACAACTGGATTTTTTCCCTGCTTTGCTATAAAACAATATAAAGATACTGAATTATATAAAATGATGGAACTTTCCCATCTGGGAGATTAATTCTTGGGAAGCAATAGCTATCTTTCTGTCCTGCCTCTGGCAAGTCCTTTGTGGTATTTCTTTTTTCTGGTGGGGAAAATGTGCCAGTGGTTTATTGAATTACTGTTCAACTCCTATGTGGTAGAGCTTTGAACAGATGCATTTACACCAGCATTCTGTGAGAATGGGAGCACAGTTTATCCTGTTGATAAACTGCCTATTTAAATAAAGCCTTCAGCAGTGTAATCTGGTAATTCTAATTAAGTCATTTACATAGGGAATTGGCCCAGGGTTTCATCAGATGGCTGCTGGGGAGCTGAAATGCATTCTTTCCCTCCAGCTGTATTAAACCAGCCTTTTGATCCTGTCCTTTTTTTAGCCTTTAAGCCAAAGTGGTTATCACTGTGCGGAGTTAATTGAGAAAGGGAAGTTGGGGGACAAGGGGACCCTTCGAGCTTTAGCTTTGGTCTTAATTATTACAGTTCTAATTACGTAATTAGAAGACTTCCAGATTTTAGGTGTTGATAAAAATGATTCTGTACAGGTTTTGTTAGAAAGAGGCAATACTCCACGGAGAGGCTGGCTTCAGTGAAGTTCTTTATTGGTAAATGATTGCCAATAACTTATCTTGAAAGCAGTATATGCCTGGGGTATCTGAGTTCTCCCCAGCACTTCGATAAGGAGGTTTCATTTACCCAGGGTGGACCCTGCGTCCTTCAGAGAGCACAAGTTACATGTCTGCCTTCCATTGCCTAATCATCCCAGCTGAAGGCTTGTACAGGTGGTGAAATTTAGAGAAACGTCTGGTCAGTGTGAAAGATTAATTTTTTAAACCCCTTTTTTCCTTTGTAAAAAAAAAAACCCAAACAACCAAAACCAGTAAAAATCTATCACAGCTCTAACATTTCACACAGGCTGACTGCAAACTGCTGTGATGCCCTTGTCTGGAAATACATCCCAGGTGAAACTTGAGAGGAAACCTTCAATGGTTTTTATGGGAACATAATCTGGATTGTGATGTGCCTTGGACAGTTCTCGTGTTGGATAAAGCCTCTGCAGTGTCTGAAGGGGCTGGTTGTGGTGGGCTCCCTGCACCCCTGAGCTGGGGATGGGCTCCTGGCAATGCAGGGTTTATTCTGATCAGCTGCTGCTCAGCAGCCCAGGCCTTACCTGTGGGAATTGCTGCGGAGCCCTCGGGTCCCAAATCCAAGTGATTAAATGATGGCTGTCGTGGTTGTAGTCAAAATTTGTAAAGGAGCTCTGAGTCTCTGAAAGTTCTGCCAAACACCAGCTTGTCCTCCAAAAATCTCTTCGTTCAGCCCCACAGCTGTAGCTTTATGTTGTTTGGCAATACTTACAAGGAATTATTCCTAAGTATGTTGTTTCAGATGTCTTGTGAGTGCTTTTGCCAGGAGACTCTCTATCCTCTGCCTGTTTTATCAGCAATGCTGAGGAAATGC